TAAATTTATTTAGACAATTTCATGTTCATTTTATAAATATGCAATGTGAGAAAATATCCAAAATGTTTTACTTGTCTAGCTGAGAACAGAACTGACACAAACTGCTGAGAACCTAAAAACTAACATCTCGAATTACTGAACTGTCTTTTTTCATCTGCATTTTCAGTACCAGTCTTTAAAAATTACAACTCAAAAGCACTCATATGACGAACACAATGTGGCGAATCACTGAATTTCTAAGTCTGCTTGTAGAAGGAACGGAAGGGTAGCAGATTAAGGGTATGAGCACCTTAACCACGTTTCATTTTGCACTCTCAATTTAGGAGACACTTGATGGGTTACTACAAGTTACTGATGTATGTGTGCCATTATAAAATGCAATAGAGGCGGGGGGGTCGTGGCGAGAGCACGGGACACGGCACTAGCTGCATGTCAATGCGGTTCGTTGGAGGACACACCAAGGATCAGAGTCATTTAATCTATACAGCTTGAGGGGAAACGTGGAGAGAATACAGACTCCGCCGGCATGCATCCAACTTCCACTGAGACGTGGAAATCAACTTGAGCTCAATCCAGCAGAAGTGCAGAGGGTATATAAGGTTCCGTTCATGTTTCCCGTTAATGCTGATTAAACCCGTGGATGGACTGATCATCTGGATTAGCTGGAGAAACATACTGTATCCAAGCGGATCATGCCCAAGAGTGGAAAATCTCCAAGGGCAGGTGTAATTTCCCACCAATATAAGTCAACCTTTTGAAGGTTGACGAAGATTAGTATTGTTCTCTATGAAAATGAACACATAGAAACAAGTACTGTGACAAGATGATCGCCACAAACTCTGTCGCCGTTTAAAGTTCTTCTGAGTGAGATCTGCTCTGTTTCATTTTGCTGGTGACGTCACTGAATAAAAGTGAATATCTCCTCTCAGGATCACTGGGTTTTTTTTTTTTTTAAATAACTTTGGCAATCCTAAAGAATCCTCTACTTTCGTCGCAGATATTAGCATTGCAGCTGACAATGACACACTCAACCATGACGGACGTGGCAAAAGAGCCCAGACAGAACACACTGAGTATTTCATGCATCAGGTGGGAACAACCACAGGGCACCAACCCAATGCAGGATACACTCACGCCCCAGTCACCAATATGTCAGACGATGGCCTTTTTTAACTCATGCGTGTTTTAGCGCAGAACGAAAAATGATTGGTTCAGAGAGATAACCAATCAGAATGTAGAGGATGTGGTTCTAAGCAACTAGAGGAGGCGGGACCAAGCACAAAGCTATCATTGCACACCAGGGCATTTGGAGTTTCCTTTATCGTAGTACTAATAATACTAATAACAACAAAATAAGAATATAGTAATATTGTTTGTGTACGGGGTATTTTAAATTAGTCTGCACTGTATGTGCTGTATATGCACTTTTTTGTTTTACACTGTACTGCATGTTTGTCTGTGCTCTATGCACTTCACTGCTGAATGCACAAGACCATATATATCTTTTCACATGTACAGTGATTGCGTTTGTGGTTCTGAATCCCCTTAATAGTTAATTAAACCCAAAATTTTAGCGTCGTGGGGATGTGAATTCCAAGTGTGACTCATGGCAAACTGCCCGGTTCCTTATTTCCAGCTCACCTGGCATCTCCTGCCCGCATGCCTCATTCTTAACTGCCTGTAGAATCACAGCTGTGCCACACAGTATAGCAGAATATATAGAGCTCTGCTTCTCATCTCAGTTAATCCAACTTAATTTGGACTTTATTATACAACTTATAGCTTTCACAAAAGAATCAGCAGCTAAATCACAGGAGCTGAGCCAGAGGGTTTTTATCATTGTGCAGTTTACTACATATAGTACACGGCTGGTGATTTTTGGGTGCTGGTTCTTATACTGGGTTGTACTGGTCCCTGCAGTGAGCTGGGGAGTTGCTGATTTGCCTCCTGCAGGACTCTCTGACTGAGCTGTTGATTGTCTGTGGAGCCTCATCATTACAGTGCTTCTAGCACAGTTACAGATCTGCTCGCAGGTTACATGGCCAGCTGGGGGGGGGGGCACATGGGCTTTCAGAATGTTTGTGTAAAATATCCATTAGTATACGGCGGGGGGTTATGCAGCATTCCAAAATTTTTCATTAAACATGTCAAAATTATTAAATGATTATAATTTATGATTCATATAATTCTGAAAGTGTTTCCACACTAGCCCATGAATAGCCCATTATGGAATGGATATGCGAAAAGCTGAATTATTTTACATTTGGAGTGAATAGGATGCACACTTTTGTTTTTAAGATGACCCTTTGTAATGGATCTGTTATGACAGGGCATGTCAAAGAACGGACAATCCATGGTAAGGTTTCAGGGAAAAGGGTTTATTTAGATGACATGCGCAAAAGGACGACCGGAAAACAAAGGAAGCATGAGGGGTCAAAACAAGCGAGTAAACAGGAAGCAAACTGCAGCAAACAAAGGGGAATAAACACCAATGACAAGCAAGAAACATGGGCGGGTAAGACTTAAAGGAACGGTACACACACAAGGCAGCCCCATGCAACGCGACCGAACTGAATGACTGGTCATTCAGAGGAACGGGGACAGGCACTTAAGTACATTCCCAATGAGGATCAACAAGAGACAAGTGTGAGCATTTAGCAAGCATTCAGAACACAGGAGGGGCAATCAACAAAGGATCAAACACCCGGACAGACCAAAATAACAAAGATAACGGACCAGTACAAATAAACGGAATAAAACAAAGGAACCATAATGAAGACAACTGACTAACACAGGTCTACAAGAGAAGTAAATATTCAACTAAAACCTGGTACAGGCTGCCCACTGGCCAGCCTCAAACCCATGACAATAAAGGGGAGTGTGAATGGCAACCACACGCTCAACCCATTAAGTCACACAACTCCCTGGGGAACAGGAGAACACAGCAGGAGCCAAGGACACTGGGGAACAGGGGAACTGACAAATGAAAGAGGGCAGGACAGGGGCCGGTCCTAACAGGATCACTGTAATTTTTCAGAGGAGAAAATGGTGAGATGGTGAAACTTTGTAGACCCTGTGAAATGAGAGGGTCCAGATGGCAACATGGGATATCTACCATGGAACCCACAACATACTGGCACATTGGACTTACATCTGAGATTTAACAGCAGCCATAAAAAGGGGCACGGCCAGGGAAAGGGCCTTACCAGCAGCAACACCACGTGCAGGTTTAATGTTTCTGGGGCTCCAGCACCTCTCTGATGTTTCAAAATCGAAATAAATAGCTAGCAAGAGGAGTCGAAATAATTCCAGCAAGGATATCCCAAAATGATATATCATATTGGGGGGAATAGAACAATGGCTGCATATTCATAATGATTACAACAATTAGATACATAATGTTATATTACATACAGGGTTGCTTCCCACCCCCCAAATATATTGAGTGGTCCTTAAGTTATTTACCTATGTAAAGTTTTGTTGAGGCCAGTGTAATTTCCCAGAGCTGTTCTAGGTTAGATTTTCATATGCTGTACTGCAATACTTCGAAATGAGAATTATACATTAAATATTATATATCAGGAGAGTCAGCATTTCCCCAAAAGCAGCATTATGTAGTGCAGATCCATTTCCCTTTTACTGTTTACCTACACAGTCCAGCTCAAAATGACAAGACTAAAAATACCCTGCCTAAAAAGAGGCATATCGCTGCAGCCCAGAGCCAATTGTCAAGTGGGAGGGGCAATGTTGAGTGGGAGGGGCAATGTTGAGTAGGAGGGGCAATGTGCGAGAGGTTTATAATGAGGGACCAGTTATCATCTGATACTCTAATCCACGTTATAAACCCCTCCTATGTGACATTGCCCCTCCTTTTAGACACTGCCCCGCCCACTCCACATTGCCCCTCCCACTCGACATTGCCCCTCCTTTTAGACACTGCCCCTCCCACTTGACATTGCCCCTCCCACTCGAAACTCAGCTCCCAGCCATGCTGATATACAGTATACTTGAATTCTCCAATGTGTCACACCATAATGCAGGGGTGTCAAACTGCAGTCCTGCGGGGCCGCAGCCCTGTGTACCTTAGTTCTTTCCCTGTTCCACCATAAATGATTCAGCTGAAGAGCAACGTGGTAATTAGCACAAGAAGTTGAATCAGGTGTGTTAAACAGGACTGAAGTCAGGTACCTGTGCCATAAAGTATGGATACGGAACAGAGTTGCCCATGATGAGTGTAGTTGGGCTTTACTGAGATTGTTTGCACATGAAAATCTTCCTGAGGACAATCCCCCTGCTCCATGTTATATGGTTTATCTCTTTAGCCGAGGATTCCTTACACACCTGTTGTATTGTTACGCAGTCTGTAATTTGTTTAAACAGCTGCGTATCTAACTGAAAATGTATTAGCAGAGCCCTGGATAGAACTTGAACCTTACGCATTCTGGTTTTAAATCCTGACACCATGTAATTTTGTCCTGTCAGCAGTGAGGCTAGATTAAAATCTCATCAGAAACTAAAATGGGACGCTGATGTGTGGCTTTGCACTTCTAATCAGAAGGTCACTCGTTCAAATCGTGTGGTCAGCAGAGTAATTTCACTGTTGGCCTCAAAGCAAGACCCTTAACCCCAATTGCTCCTGTCTGCTTTCTCAGTTGTGTGTTGCTTTATATAATAGTTTCTGCTAAACAGATAGATAGTTATTAACCCTTTTACTCATAGCAGTTAGACTGTATTTCTCCATACCCCATACCAAGGCAGCAAGTACCTTTGCATCACCCCAAATATGTCTGCCATTCATTTGTTTTTTCCTGGATTGCCATAGGGTCTGAGGTTTGTCATCCCAACACCAATCTGGTAAAATGTTATTATGCAAACAGAATCATCCTCATATGCATATATTCAATAAAGAGGACTGAACCTTTTTAAAATAATCATTGTGATTCGCACAAAGTCCGAAAGGGCTACACACTGACTTATCCTACCGGCCAGTAATAGCTTTTATAACCACTATGTGGCGTTAAATTGCACGCTGCCGGTCGCCTGCGCCCCGATCCTCCTTGCGCATGAAATCCGGCGTTTCTTTCATAATAAAATGACGTCTCCTAACTGCAATATCAGCCTTGTGTTTGGGGAGCCGCAGAGGGTCGCTTCGCACACATGCAGCATGGGGACGGAGTGACTGAAAGCGTCTGATGCGTTTCCGCTTCTATGTGCCGGAGCAACACGGCATGATTGCAAAAGGCGCAACCACCGGAGATAAAGGGATCTTCTCCCCGTCCGCTGCCACAATGATCAGATGTCTTTTTCGGGAGGACGGTTGCAATACATCCTTTTGACACACAAATGGCGTCTGGTACGAGCGGCGGACTTGATGATTTGTACGTTTCGGATGGATGGAGAGGTGTGAGAGCCTCGGTATGTGTTCGCAAAAAGGCAAAGATACCTTTGGATGGGGCGCCCATGAAATGTCTGCTTTTGCTAGAAATGGTGGCACTTGTTTTGCAATCGGCTCTCGCAGCGGAAGGTAAGGGAAATGTCATTTGTTAGTTTGATGTGGCTTTGGGGGGAAAATGTAATCTCGGCTTTGCTGTGTAAATCTGAACCTGGTGACCACATTAAAAGAGCCGGCCATCTGTGGAGGAGAAGAAAAACGAAAACACCGAAACTACATGAACTGCTATAATGAATGCTTTAGATGCAACTGACACAAGAGTAACATTGTTAATTTTTAGACAAGGGCGTCTAATACTGATAAAATACATTAAACTGGATATGTTAATTTAATTGGCTTGACCCAGTAACGGAGCGAAATTAATTAATATGCATTTTATTTAATTAACTCAGATAGGAAAAAAAAAACATCATGTCAGTTCATCTGAATAAACGAATAATATACACCTCATCCCTCGGTCACTCTCGTTTGCAAATTCGTATATTTACCACAGTAGTTTTTACGGCCCCCTAAATGACTAAAGTTGCAAAACTTTAAACTTATAATTTTATTGGAGACGCTTCGGGTGCGGAACACGTGACCATGGCTTCGTTATACTTCTGATTATCTATCTATCTATCTATCTATCTATCTATCTATCTATCTATCTATCTATCTATCTATCTATCTATCTACCACAGTGTCATTGTACTGCACGTTTTCTAACATGATTCACCGATTTAGCTGCTGATTTCCTTGCAAAGGTTAATATGCTCCAGGCTTCAGGGTTTAAAGGATGTTGGATAGCATTACTAGCATTCATAAAAATCCCCTGTGGCACGGTGACATCATTTGCCACTGGAGGGTGGTCTGTCTTCCCCAGCCATAGGCTTTTCCGGAAGGATCTCAGCACTTTGTTATATGCAATTTGCTTTGAGACGCTTGTAATATTGTAATTTACTCTAGGTTTTAAAGAGGATGTGGAAAATGATTTTCTGGTGGGCAGCAAAGACCTAAATGAGTGTGAAGGTGTACGTTTGTAATGCAAACGTTGACGTTGGGTAGGAGAGCAAGAACAGTCAGGCTGAAGGTCCTGTAAATGCAAGCATGCTCCACACCAATGCCAATCAGTTACAGGCATAGACTTTCTGTCATGGTTCCTGCCTGGTTTGAACAGAATAAATAATCACACTGCAACACTGCAAACAGAGTGCACAGGGAATGCATAACATCTGCCTGTCTCCTATAGCACAAGGTGATGGTGATCTGGGAGCTGGTCTCAGATGAACACAGGGCAGATACATTCACAAGAGGCAGATATAGATGCAGATACACACATTGTAACTGAAATCAGATCAGCACATAAGCACCATATAGGATTTCTGCTGCATAGCCCTTCAGTGGGAATTGAACACTTAACCATCTGGTGTGGTGTGACTGGCACTGCATGGCAACTAAGCCACTGCACACTGAACGGCTTATCTACAAAGAGATCTCATACACAGGCACGCTCACACGCACACTCACACCGTGTCTGAGATGGCCCTGTGGGGTTGGTTTCAGATTCTGGTTCCAATCGGCCTGTTGTGAGTCATTGTGTAACAGGACAGCACCAGTGCTCTTCTGGCACAAAAACACCCATTTGAGAGCAGAACTGGCAGTGGTGCCGGACACACACTGTGCTGACGGAAGGGTTAATTACAGCTCCGGGTCTGAACTTGGGAGTCGAGTGTGTATTTGCTAGTAACACTTGTGTGGGCTGGTTGTGAGGCTTTGATTTCTAGGTGTTGGGAAGGCTTGTGTCCTGTAGCTGTACCACACAGGATCAGCTTCATCCCAGCAGCGATCTCCACGCCTTTATCCTTAACACACAGTGCGTGTGAAATCCAGTGCCCCCCCCCCCCCTGCAGTAATACACCAGTGTTTATGCTGTTTGTGTCTTTCACGAATATTTGCTAACGTGATGCAGTGTGTTTGCAGTGTGGTACCCATGCACCCTTCACAAAACGAAAGATAAAGTACACATCTATTCTAGTGAAAGAAAATCAACAAATGAACACATTGTTACAAACCAATTGACATCAAAATAATTCTGATCCCTTTGACACAGCTTTAATAAATATTGTTATATGGATAATTTTCAGCACTGAATGGATTGAAAGTGCTTATTCTCTCTCTCTCTCTCTCTCTCGGTCTCTCTCTCTCTCTCTCTCTCTCATCCCTGATTCCGGCAGGTGTAATACCGCAGCCACTTCAGTGGACATGATTATTCCACTAAATTTTTTCTTGTCTAAAATAAAATAATGAACGAATACGTTTTAAATAGCTACTAAACTGTATGCTGGAGGTTGAGGCAAATAGAGTTTAATGCACTCCCCAGCTCTATGAAAGCTGGATTCTTTGCATCATTAGGATGTAATTTGGGTAAACTCCAGAAAAGTGATGGAATTAGAACACTGCTCCTTTACGACGGATTCTAACTGTTATCCGCTGAGTTTGTTTTGTTCTCAGTGAGCCGGTCAGCATCTGGGAAACAGAGACATGAAGCCCGTTCACTGGCTGCTTGGGTGGCTCCGCGGGTCCGCTGGCTGCTTGGGTGGCTCCGCGGGTCCACTGGCTGCAGGAGCTGGATCGCGGCCCGTTTGCTGATCACTCCCGGGGATCCTGAGCCTTTTTCATTGTGCCTGGATCATGGCCCCCAGGGCTGCTTTGGGATTACTGCTCTGCCCGTAATGAGTGTTACTTCAGTGCACCAAGCTGTTTGGCAGCGCTATACTAGGGGGTCCGGACCCCCAGTTCGCAGGACACTGGGGTTTGGCTTAGGGGTTGGGTAATTGTTGGGTAATAAATGACATGATGTTGCCGATTGATTTTCCTAACCCCCTGGATGTTTCTCCAGTGAATGACGTAAATCAGTCCATGAACTTGAAAAGCTTGGGAACACCTACCTAACCCATTTCTGTCACTGTTCTATAGGCCATAAACCCCTCCCACTGCCCCACTCAATGCCCCTCCCCTATACGAGGCTCCTCCCACTAACCAGTTCTTGGGGACACTTTCTGAGGCCTCACCCATCACCGTGTCTTTTCACTAACCTGGTCACTCATGGGTCTCCACACCGCCGTCTGTGGTCCATGTCCTGGTGCTTCATTTCTGACCCAGAGCAAGATCTGTGTGAAACGTTAGCGAAGCCGCTGGTGCCGCGGCTCCTTCTGCTCTGGTGGCTTTCCCGCCTGCTGTCTCCGTGTAAGGTCAGCATCTCCATCAGGCTGGCTCTGCTCCAGCGGCTCGGTCGCTGGGCCTTCACAGCGCAAACCATCTGTAGCCGAGCCAGTTGAACACAGCCCCTAATTAGCATCCAGTGCCATCTGCCTGGAGTGCATTATCACTGCACCACATGCCTAATAGTGTTACCAGTGCCCTCGCGGGGAAGTTGTCATTACCCAGCATGCTCAGCAAATGAAAGTTTAGCATTTGAAGGTGTGCTCGGTCATGTGATGCATGCATAAATCGTCTTGTGCTAGTGAAGTTTATGCATGGTGCTTCTTTGGGTCTCTGCTCTCTACAGTATTACGGCAGTGTATGTAGGACATACACTGAATGGCTAGTTTACTAGGTAGACCTGCTTGACGACACAAACTGCCTGCTCTTCTAAACAGCCAATCAGTTGGCTGTAGCTGCATAAAAACAGAATCCCACAGACAGGAGCGAGTGGCTGACGTACTGTTTGATTAAACACGAGCAGCTAAGGCACATGATCTGAGTGGTTCTGAATGTGGCATGTTTGTTGGCACTTGTCATATGCTGCAGAGCTTGAAAATAATGGTTCGATGACTTAAAAAAAAACATGCAGTCAGCATCAGGTCTGTGGCCAAATCAGCCTGTTAATGAGAGAGGTCACAGGAGAACAGTCGCGCTAAGAAGGACACAAGTGCAAAAATAACAACTAGGTATAGAGGTGATGTGCAGAAAGAAGCCTCCAAGCAGCTCAGCACTTGAAGTAGCTCTGAAGACAAAAGCAGGTTCTTCCTGACACTTCATAAGGCTCCCTAATATAGCGAAGCGCAGAGGCCATTCTCCACTCCCTCACTGTAACCTTGAATCATTTTTCACCATAAAGAAAATCACAGATCTGAAACTGGCCCGGCTGTTCACCCAGGCCTCCATCTTTCTCATCCGACAGAGGGACATCTTCCAAGGGGTTCGGTTTATTTATGAGGCTGCAGTGTAACAGGATCCCCGTGTCGTACGTCGTCTGTCTCCCGTGCTGGGCTGTGAGATGGAAGCCTAGTCCTGCTCTGCTGATGGTGGCTTGGTCGGTGCTGGTGCTTGGTCGGTGATCCTCCCCGATCTGTGCATCTCCCACCCTGGGAGTTGGTGCACCTGCAGGACGCAGAGACATGAAACGTAATGAGCTTGGCATCAGTGGGTGGACTGCTTAAGAAGGTCAGGCCTTGTGGATGCATGGTACTGTAGAGGATCATGTAGGTACAGATGGGAGGTTGTGGGTCACAGTTTGGAGGACAGAGTCTTTAGTCAAAACTGCTTTTAATCAGTAGAGTTTTGCCTGAAATTAAGGTGGATATCTGACCATGTGCTTCTCATCTCTCTGGGTAGATTCACATGAAAGATGGGTTTGTGAACTGAAAAGGTTCAGTCCTGCCTGTTGTGATGACTGATACCAGACTGCATTTCCTATTCGCCTGTGTTGCTCTATTCTTCCTGACCCCTGTGGGTAAGATGAAGGGATAATCCTGAGCCACCTAGTGGCCTGATGCAGATCTGCGGTGGTGACGTCCAGCCTTCCTGCTGCACTGGTCCTGGCATGTGTGCATCTTGCCGCCCCAGTGCTGCAGCTGGGATTTGGACCGTGGGGCGTTTTGCACTGCGACTGCGCCGGGCAGTGAGCTGGGATTAACAGCTTCAGCTTGGTAACACTTTCCCTGAGTGTGAAGATGTGACTCAGCGTGGCGTGTCTGTGTTAGCGCTCCTAGCCATGACCTTGCTGTGTGACCATGACTCTCTCTGCATGCTGCCCACTGTGTGGTTCTGCTGTCTCCCCGTGACGTTCCTGTAGCACTGTGACACGTCAG